TGCAATGTGCATTAAACACGCGATAATGCATCAGGGGAAAAAAACAAGGTGTAAAACTACATTTAAAGCTGGGTTCTATGGCTTCTAATTAGGGTCAGTGGGGAATCTTATGCTTTTTTCAGATTTGCACATTTCTTAAAATGCTACTATCAAGGAGATGAATCCACTCCAAGTGGTGGATGCAATGAAGACAGGTTGATCCTCCCATATATTATTTGTAACTGGTATGATCCAGAAAATATACAATTTTAAAAGTTGGCAATTATATACAAGTTGCTTTTAACTTAGGCCTGGTTCACACTGGGTGATCTGGCATTCCTGCAATATGAGCCTACGGATTCCTGTGGCAGGAATGCCAAGAGTCCCTGTTCAGTTTTGACCAATGTACCTGTTCAAGTTAATAATTGGGTGACAGTGGCTGCAGCTGTAAGCAAAGTCCACATGTAAATCGTATATGATTACATGTGGTTTGGAATAGATCACGGTCACCGACAGGTGTGGACTGCCACAGAGTGCTGCTTAAAGATGCGGCTATCTCTTGGTCATTAACTTAAATGGGTACAGCAGCTGGATCTAAATGGGACACCTGAGATTCCTGCCACAGGAATCCCAATTCGCCCAGTTTGATTAGGGCCTAAGAGTGGCTTAAAAACTGGGTGCAAAGGGCTTGAATGCAGCATGTTTTTGACATCAGTCCGTCAGTCAGGAGCTATGGGATAATTCGGAATTCAAAGCAGTTGAATCGGACCTGCATTTTACATGCTTAGTGGCTTTTGTATTTAAAAATATATTAAATATAATGGGGGGGAAAAGTAAATTCTATAGTGAACAAAATTCCATCAACACAATGACCCTTTGAATTATAATTTATTTTCCTTTTTCTATGGTCCTATGGCATGGATTACAGAAATCCCATACCCAGGGCCATAACCCATTAGAGGGAGACACACGTAAGCATCAATAGATTACAAGAACAATGTTTTTTGGTAGAAACATCCGGAAATCTAGATTATTTTCAGTACCATCTATTGCATCATCAGTTTCTAAATTAGAGAGATGAGATTATTGCTTCTATTGTCATACATAAAAAAAAAAAAAAAAATGTTTTTGTTCAAGAGACAGCTGCATGGCACAAGCTATGAACATCCATACAAAGGTCTAAGCATCAGTGCAGCTAGGGCTCCTTCACATTTTATAGATCAAATACCAAATGCCACTTTCTTAAATCTCAAATTCAAACCAGCAAAATATTTCAGAAACGAAGCCAACATTTTTTTTATACCTAAACAGTTTTTTTTTCTATTCCTTATTGATATCTGCAACATTGACAGCAGTAACAACCAAAAGAATACATGAACCAAAAGACACTTGACTTCACAAATTCAAAACAGAGCTCTGAAAAAAAAACGTCATCTTGTAGTTCAATAAGTTTATGGTTGAACATATTCACAAAGCTCTTTCCACCCCCAACAGGTGTTCGACTCATATATTCCACTAATCAAGCTGAAACATTCATACAACTCTTCGCTAGGTGGGACTGACACTTCAGCAGTCCAGCCTGTTTGGAATTTTATGAATGCGGTCTACTCTCCTTCTACTCGCAAACAACTCAATCTATCAAGATGCCTTTCTCTTTGCACTATCATTGGAGATCTCTGAATGTCCTCCATGGCTGTGATAAGGTAATCAGTTCCACAGATCAACCATGTCAATCACCACATATATCACAATCAAGTGATGTCAGATTCTCAGCATGGGAGAACTGTGGGCAGATTACCAGACACTATATCAACAGCGAAAAGAGATGCTGTATGTAATCATTCCTTTGTGCTGCAGACAGATGACAATGTAAAGCAAAATTCTGTGTACTTGTGTCTGAGAGCATCAGTTAAAGATACAATTATAATGATCAATATACATTGTTTAAATTCTAATGCTGGATTGCACACAGCATTTCAAGCATAAGCATAAATAAATTGCACAAATTTAAAGTGGAACTCTGGGCAGTTCTAAAAGTAAATCCCTGTCCTTTACCCCAGGATGATGGATATACTGCTTGTTATTCTAGGAGATGATTAACAGTATAGTTTACCTTACTCCACAGCCCCATGGCAGCCAGCAGCCCACTTATTTCAAATGCCGGAATGTGGGCGGGCACTCCAATGTCATCCCGTAAAATTTAGGAGCATTGTTGTCGAGAGGGGTGTTGAAAAGATTGGTCAGATAGTGGCATGAAGAGCGGTTTCAGGGCAGCGGACTACACAGCCAAAACTGGTAGAGAGGAAGACTGAGGGACTGTTCAGTAAGGTAAGTAATACTCCAAAATCATCCCCTAGTAAAGCAAGCAGTATATTCTTCATCTGCTGGGGGTGCAAATTATTTTTTAGAAACTGCCAGGAATCAGGCTTTAAAAATGTTATGTTTGCACGGCATTCCCAACACTAGATAGAGCTGATGAGTATAGAAATTTCCTATGCTCCTTGGGTTCATCTAGTGGCAGAAATGGCATATGCTGGGTGGAAGAGTTATACATGGCCCACTCTGACTTTAGTTTAACTTATTAATTTATCTTTCTTGTACTACTTTTATTAGATAAACCGATGTGTATATTCTCAGTCTAGTGGCTATCTGTATTACAATACAATCTCTCAGCATCAATGATCAGCTGATGGCAAGAAAATCTCACAAGTTTTCTATTCAGTCCCACCAGACTGGTAGACTTGCACATAGAGGAACAGCAAGAAAACTAAATAAAGAGCTTGCATGTATATTGAGCAATGTGGCTGTTCTAGGTTTATGTTCTAGGTTTATAACAGAAACCAGGCTTTATAGCATAAAGGCATTGATAAGATTCACTTTAGAATAACCACCCTATAAAATTATTTGCGCACTTTGTTAGATTATTTTATCATTTAGTATTATATTGAATGCTGGTGGGATGAATCATGTTTTGCCCTTTTTAGAACTTCAGTGCTAAGATGTACCAATACCCACTGGACTCGCTTATGGCATCTGCTGTAAGAACTTCATGGAGGTGCAGTGGGTCCTGGGCTCAATGCTCACCACTTGCCCATTTTCAAGGTTTGTTTTTTACTCTGACTGACTAAGCGAGTTTCTGTAATGTACTTCCTTTTCACAATCCAAAATGTACTGTTTTACACCCAAAAATTATTTTTAGCTGTATGACTGCTGTAAATATTAAACTATACCCTTTTCGGGGACAGTGACTGAGGCAAATTGATCTACTAGGTGCTGCAGATTTTTTTTCAGCACTTTATGACCTAATGTAAGTAAATTGATAAATAAAAAGGAACAGAGAGGCCCTCTTATAATAGCAATCTCATAACAGCTAACAGATCTCAACACAGATCTAATGAGTCAGTCGACCTGTCAGCTGAAAACTGAAATCAGATTCAGGTGAATTATCTCTTAAACACCACTGCGGCTATCCTTGCGACAGGGCAGATGTGCTTAATCACTAACCCTCAACCTGTTGCAAGTCGCTATTCCGGTATTAGTTTCCAACTTTGCTGTGCTTGTAATTTTTATACTTGTATCCAGTATTCAGGTTAAACTTCACACAGATGTAGGAGGGGTGCTTGCAGTTTCCTTCCTAGTTATATGTAAGTCAGTGGGTTGCTTTCCTCCTATTAAACATTTTTAAGGCACCGAAAGCAAACCAAGGACTCACTGATTTAGATCACATATTTCCTTTTATGTGTAAAACAGAAAATAGAATAAAACTGCCCTCTGCAGAAGATAACTAAAACTGTTGCTATCTATACACATGTACAGTGCTATCTATACACATGTAATACCAAAAGTAACACAGAATGAGATCAAACATCTTTGCCACTACAATAATCGCTGTGAATGCTGTAATAAGAATGAAAAGAGCAGGAATATAAGGTATCTTAGCAATTTAGAGAACAGGGATTCTTAACTAAGGGTATCCATACCTCTTGGAAGAGATTGGATCACTAAATTTTAAAAACAGAAAGCATTAAAAAGAAGAAGAATCACTGGATTATTTAACCTGAAATTATAGCAGAAAAAAAATCTATGTATCAGATGGCATGCAAACAACATTGTCAGTAACTGGACCTCGATTCCATATATTTTTTTTTCAATAAAACAAAAATATTTTAGAAAAATAAAAATCTGGGTTGTGTTTTTGGTTTTTGCGATTTGCTCTTTTTATGTAAAAATGATTAATTCTCTAATTTTATTTTAACTGTACTGTTCCTTGCTATGTAAATTAAAACCAAGTTATTCACTTTTTTGAAGTTATTTGTGTGCTTAACAGGATGTTATGATGATTTTGACAGTTGCCAGGGTATGGGGGACTTATTGGGCAATCTGTTGGGGGTCTGACATTGTGAAAAGATAAGAACACTTGACAATGGTTTTTGGAAGTTGTGCTATTTAATTCTATATTGGAATAAAGAAAAGTAGCCCATCCTCACAATTACTGGTAAAATATGCCTTTAAAATGTTTCTATTTAAAATTAAATAAGCAGTGTATAAGAAACATTATTTGTTACTATAAGGGTAAGGAGAAGTATAATACAGTAAAGGATATTTGGATAATACGGACATTTTGTTCATTATAGGCACTGCCATTTATTAATGCATGCATCTGAATGACAAATTACTGTCAGTTTGGTCAATAGGGGATCTTAAAAGGAAAGTTGCTAAAAACACTATTGGTGTACAGTTAATCTTCCCATAAGAAACCAGAAGAAAAATGTAAACTTTCATTTTCCTCAGTATTAAAAGATTTATTTTATGTTCAGGTCATGCCTGGGGTAAACCACTATACTGTGAACTGTCCACACAAACCGAGAACACAACGGGGTTAGCTGTCCTCTACTGGGAAAAAAAAAAAAATCAGAAGCGACCCCCTGTGGGTCAGACAGTTTTATTTTGCAATGGTGCATTAAAAATTTCAGCCACACAAAATCACTTTTATTATGAAGGGATTCTGGCCAGTAGCCTACCTCAACATAGTCCTTGGCATGACCCCAATCTCTCTTGGCATCCAGATTTCCAAGGCTGAAACACTCCATCTGTCCGAGGTGAATCTTAGCTACTGAACGGCTAATTTTTCGGGTTACAAAATTTGCCCCTGGAATAGAGATAAAAGATATTGTTAGAATTGTCCTGCCAAAGACTTAATGTCTGGCAGATTACCATTGGTTCTCCACCTCACAGAAATCTCTTTTATTCCTCAATTCTCATCTCTGATCCCTTCCTCCCCTTCTAAAAACCATGGCATCGTTCATCATTTGAGTAAGCTAAGAAGCTTCAATTGCCAGAGTTGCAAGCTCCACTTTCACATCTTTTCTCTCTAAAACTTCTTAAGCATTCCTAATTCGCTGCTTCAATATTCAATCTAGGCAGAAAGCCAAGAAAAATCAATTGGAATGTCAGTTTATAAACATAAAATGCAAAAGGTTATACAAAGGGAAACACTAGTATGGAAGACAGACATCTGAGACCACCCTAGCTTTAGAAATAAGAACAAGTAGGAATACACTTTTGCTTGTTAATAAAGCAGCTGGCAATGTCTTATAAAATAATGCATTCTTTTTTCAAAGCAGATGAATAATGGAATACTTCAGAGGGCCGAGTGTTTCTGTTCTGCACTTCATTGACTTGTTAAGGACAAACAACTGCCAGAAGTAAAGTACAGTGCAGCTATTGGGATAATTTTTTCACAATAATGTGGATGCTAATGTTAACTGTATTAACCCTATTTCAAGCAGATAAATTATATTGTTTTAGATAACCAGTTTATCCAGCAAGGAAAAGGATTTAAAAGACTACAGATTTATTATAACTATACATGTGCATTATCTATACAGTATACGTAAATGCAATATTTAGATACATGCTTAAATACATTGACAGCATTTGGCTTATTATAACACCTATACATGTCGTTGCACACCAATAAACGGGAATAGCAATGAAGACTATATATCCTATGGCAATCCTGCCTTACAGATTTGCCCTGCAGAAGCAGTCTGCCTTAGTTCAGGATCAAACAAAGCCATGACACTGACAAAGGGAGATGCCTTCCAAGTAATGCATCTAATGCACTGTTAGCTGCAAATCCAGTCAGTCTGTGCAAGATTGTCATTCATTTAATTTTAGAACAGGAAAAGCTAAGGATTATAGAAAACTACTTAAAATATGTGCTTCAAAAATATTTAACACTTATATAATTCTCTTTAGCGCTGTGACTTATATAATTCTCTTTAGCGCTGTGATATTAAAGAAACTCCAAAACTCCAGTAATATCTATTTAGATCTAAACTAATATGTATATTGCTGAAATATATAAAATATTGCTTAACCCCTTCATGACTGAGGCCCTTTTTTCATTTTTTGCACCCATGTTATATTCCACATTTTAGGCCTGAAAATGATAATGGCACGACAAGCACGTTCCGAGTTTGGTGAACGCGTGTCAAAGTGCACAGTTTTTCACACATTTGGTGTGTGTTTATGGAACCCGATGGTGCAAATGGGGGCTAAAAAAGTATTAGGCTAATGCCTGCATCTCCATGTATAGTGGACATAAAGCTATATAATTAATATGCTCAATGCATAGTGGACATAAAGCTATAAAACCACATTCTGAAACAATTCATCCCCACACAGATACCTCATGTATTACTGGCCCCGCCCTTTTAGATTGTAAGCCCTCACGGGCAGGGTCCTCCTTACCATGTCGTCTTGCATTGCAATTGTAATGTCTTCCTTATATTGTAAAGCGCTGCACAAACTGTTGGCGCTATATAAATCCTGTATAATAGTAAAGCTAGATAATTCCTACATAATCACCTAGCATGCTGGCTGAGAGGTTAGCACTGCTTCACAATAATGGGTGTTCTGCCCATGTCTGCATTGCTTTCCTTCGGGTTCTCTGGCTTCCTCCCACAATCCAAAACCATACTAGTAGGTAAATGCCTTCTATCCATTATCCCTACTGGAAGACTATAAGACAATAGACAATTTATAGAAACCCCAGATTTTCAGATATAACAATGACGCATGTCATACAAACTCTCGTCCTCTGCTTCAAGCTAAATCACCAACACATACACACTGCATCTACATAATATTTTCAATTAACAGAAATAATAAAGCATATTAATGTGCAAATTCATTGTTATATTGTGCTTGGCAGACTAGGCATAATGAACTGCTTTTCTGTGTTTAAATGAATATTCAGAGGACACAGAGGACAGGAAGACTCTGCCAGGCAAAATATGCCAGAAAGTGAAGCAAACAGATGTGCTACTGAATAGCTATGCAGAATGAAAGTGCCAAAGATATATCATTGCATAGACAAGCGCTGTTTAAAACAAACTCAAATAGTGCTAATAGTATTATATATCAAAGAATCATTCCCACTTTCGTAATGCAAACAAAAAGCACAATTTTATTGCTTAGAAGGATTTAAAGGAAATTAAACTTTTGCTCATAAAACCTATTTACAATACCCATGTGCCTACACAATCTACCTGTGTATTTTCCCCCTTGGCATATGGCAGAACATCTACATTTTATTCTGCACAATACATAAAACATACATTTTCAGTGATTAACCTGCAGACAAATGTGAATGTTCTGTAAAAAGCAGAGAGGCAGTGCCACTTTACTAGTGCCCCTAACTAATCAGAGTATTTTTACATCACAGGCAAGTCAAAAGACACAGTCTAAACTGTTTTTATAGGTAATTGTATTTACACTAAAGATTTCCATACCTACAAGTAAGCTCAAAACCATATGATAGTTGTTTTTTTTTATTGTTGAGGATGTGTTTTTGCTTGTTTAGGTATGTATTTTAAAGCTGCAGAAGTACCCAAAATGAAGTTTAAAAATCAGATCTTTGTGGGAGTGTCATGCTATTATAAATATATAATAAAGAATGTATAATAAAGCAAATATAAACCGGTAAGGATACACTGTTGGAGAAAATGACATTATGTTTTGTTTATCAGTGTCTACAAAGAAGTGTTGCTTTTGGAAACCAGACACTTCTTTCATTTTCCATCCAAAACTAGGAGCGTAATGAAAAATTGACACTTATACATGACACTTTAACACTTATACTTATGACCTCTCAGCCTAGGCCAAGTCACTTGACTGGAGCACTTATACATAAACATACAATAGTTCCAAAATGACATGACTCTTGCACAACAATAAATGACAAATCTCTCTGTAAATGACAGTAAGACAACATTGAGAAAGGAGAACCAGAGTACTAGAACCTATAAAAATGCTAAACAAGATTAATACTAGAGAAATTGCTGCAGTAGCTTTTAAGAGAAACATGTGTGGGTACATGTGTAACCATAGCAGAGAAGCTTTTCTCTACAGAAGGATGGCACATCGTTGTTCCGGCAGTTATGTTAAAACCTGGTGCTTGTCCAGCTTCTGGCTGTGTTCAGAAATGGTTATAGAGGTTACTTCAGAATGTGATTTGATGTGAAGGGGGGCCTCTGATATGACAGGGGGATCCATTTTTTGGTTTTGATTAGGGCCCAGTCTTAAAAGCCAATCCTAGCCCCTATCTTGCATAAGGGTTTGGTATGAATTTTTGGAGGGGCCACACATTAAAATTTTTACGATTACATGTTTTTACCGTCTAAAATGTAAACAAACTTAAATATGAAAAACGACTTGTGGTCCCCCTCCATAGCAAACTCTGATACAAGATATGGGTCTAATATGAATGGGGGACCGCAAGCAAAAAAAAACAAAAAAAAAATTAATTCACCCCTTCACAATAAGAGTCCTCTTAATATCAGAGCCCCCCTTCCATATCAGATAACCACCACCCTCCCACATCCGAGCTCCCCTCTAACACCAGCAGCTTTCCTCTCATCAGAGGTATGACTGAAGATGTCGAGACACCCCTGGGCAAGCCAGAAGGCACACCAGGGTGCCACAGCACCCTGGTTGAGAAAGGCTGTTGTAGACTGTGGTGCTTCAAGATTTTGCATACTTTTAAAGGGTGTTACAACTG